CATTTTAACAGCCTGATCTCACGTTCGATTTCTGCGCGGGACGACGGATCTAAGGAGACGGCCCAGGGAGAAGGGCGCTCAAAGCCTGAAGAAGAAAGCGATAACTCCGTTTGGTTAACTTGGCTTGCAAATTCTTCAGCCCAACGCTCCAAGCGTTTTGACAGGTTGTGGATCAGCTACCTACTCTCGTCGCGTATGGTCTCGCTAACACCAGGTTTCCTGCTACCCGTTTCCCGTACCATACGGAATAACTTACAATGATTACCAACGGCAGCGGTGGTTTCCATCTCAGAGGCATGATGAGACCACCAGGTTTCGCGGTCTTTCTTCAGGCTAGCACGTAGTTTTGCCTTGAGATTTTTGCGAGCCTCATTGTATTCGCTTCCAGCCGGAATACGTCGGCGAGCATCCATACGTTCCAGAGACTGTGGGAAGACCCAATGTCCGGTTTGGCAATTTGCTTTGCCACATGAAGACATGCCTGCTAACAGCAAAGCTTGACGAATATGCGACCAGGGATACTCGACGGTGTTTAGTGGGCACTTACTCAGCCCAGATGTTAGCGCACTTTGATACTCATTCAGAACATCTGGCTCTGCCAGCTGGCTGGTGTCAATCCATTCACATCGACGTTGCGGACGTCCACCGAAACGCACCAGGAGGTCCGCACAGACAAGTGCGTCGTCAGAGTCCACGCTCGTGCTCCAAAATGAGCGACAGTTTTGCACACAGCCTCTCCAGCGATAACTGATCGCGATATGATCGATTTGCGTCCATGGCTAATGCGAAGTTGGTGGCCGCCAAGTCACGCTTCTGCGAATGCTGTGTCGAAAGTGTTGGTTCGTGAGAAAGAGACCAGCATCTTTGCACAGCTCTAGCAACCACTCACGGTTAACATTACGTGAGTCTACACCAAGTTGGCCGCCCAGATGAAGCTCCTCAGAGGTCAATTTTCCTACTTGGGCGTTTAGATCGCCAGCCAACACCACAGTATCCATGCTTCTTCTGTAACGAAGGAGCTCGTGAAATTGCTGATAGAAATGATCTTTTACCGAATCAGTGCTACAGTTTCTTGGGGCATAGGCCGCAATGACAAACAGGTACCGTTTGTTCCCGTGCGACTTCGAAGCCTGGAACGAACAGCTAATCTAACGGAACACATTCGACTGTTGACTGGCATCCAATCGATCAGGACAGCTTCAGCCCGAGGCCTCAAAACAATGTCCACCTCATCTCGACTGACATTTGAGGCTGCATAATCGCCAGACAGGCGCAATGAGAATGTGCCGCCAGCCTCGCATGTGGGGATCGCCGAGTAAGCACGAAGCTCGAATCTTGTAGGCGGGTTTCTGATAAACAGGAAATATGGAGCAATAGGGTCTCTAGTGTGCCGGCAAGGGCTGCCTGTTCGCCAATCTGCAGCAAAGTGCGCACGTTGGGACATGCCAGTCTTAGTAAGACGGGGGGATTACAACGGGAAACAGATGAACTGACGTTTTTCGCTTGGTTGAACATGGACTTGCGACTGGATTGGAACGATGGCCTGCGACTTTGTGTGATTTAATACTAGAATACAAGCGCTTATTGAAGCAATATGGGAGAGAGCCAAGAACTGGGGTTCACAACCAAAGCCTTTGGTTCAAACTCTGACCGCACGTCAGCGGGGTTTTGGCAATGGATTAGAGAGAGCCCGTTTTATGGGGTAAGAAGCCAACCTTACTCCAACCCACAACCTGGAGGATCAGGAGACTGAGTTTGCCCGACCTCTAACCATTGACCAATCTGGTATGAGTGGCTCTGAAGGTGAAAAAGCACCACCCAGCATAGCTCAATGGATCTCTGAGGCACGCAAGCCATCGCACCAGTCTCGTCGCGCTGGGATCATTCTGAATGGTCGTTCTAAATTGCATACGTCGACTGTTCAGGTTTCATTTCTACTTCCGTTGTGACTTCCGTTGGTGACTTCAATCTTAACGCGGCCAGATGTAATGTGCGGCTTACAGCCCACCGTTAAGTTGCTACTGGCGATTTTAACTACATGCTATCTTACTGCCTTGAGTAATAAATTCATATATACTTCATGCACTATCAGGTGCAATCGTGCCACATGGTTTCAAAATATTCTCTGGATTAAGTATTCTTGTTGAACCTTTCATAAAGTTTTGATCATTTCGTCTGATACTCTTGGCAGTAAAATTCAGTCGGTGTTCAGAAGATAGAAATTGCGATTGAAAGCTTGGGAGCTCAACCAATCTGTGCTCTTATGCTGTAGTCTGCTTCGAGGAGGACGAAGCATACTTCTGGGCACAGTAAAGTATGAGGTTCTGGCGCTATTTATTCTCTCTGTAATTTACTGATCACGTGCATCTGTATGTTTGCCAGTTTGCCAAAGTAAACATACCAAAGTATTGTCTTTCAAATAAATCGACTGTGAAGGTGCATTAGAGTAACAGCCGGAACAGGTAGCCGTTTGTACATCATATCCTTAATTGATAATCACCCGTATTTCATACTTGGCATAGTGCATAAACTGAGTTGGATCTGCTCAAGTGTATGAAAGCCAGCAGCATTAAATTCCAAAATATAAAAGTACAAGTGATTTTTGCTCCCACTAAGTAACAAGGTATTAATGAGGGAATCTAGTTACATTAGGAATTGTAGGGTAAAATGTTGTATTAAATCTAAAGTGCCTACTTACAGCAGGATGGTGGCCTATTTGAAATTTAGTGACTCAGCGGACGAAAGCTACAACAATGACAAATTTGAATAAATTGTGTCCTCATGTTCAAGTAACATACTCACTTTTTGCTTTCTCCTCTCTGAAAACAAGCTTGCTTTCCAATTTTTCATTAGGCTGAGCTTCTCTCGCATTGTCGTGGTCACGTTTGGCACATTGAACAAATTGCTTTCACAGTTGTTGTCAGCTGGCTTCGAATCCGAATGACAACCGTCCTCTGGCGTAGATGGTGTAAATCGCTCTGTCCTTAGCAGTTCCCTTAATTGTCCCATGCGCTCCCACCGATAGCGAGCTACAACAGCTCCACAGTTGACGGCGAACACCAAGCCAACTAAGGCAAACAGCCCGAGTAAGATATACATGCTCATCTCTAGTGCAGGCCTTGAACCTGAAGTCCTTTCGAGAGGTTTGACAAGTGCACCATTGTGTTTATTGTCGATAATCGCATAAGTATTTTCTTCTCTTGTTTGGTCAGACAAAGATGTATCATCTAAAACAGGAACTGGTGCGGAAATCGAAGGCGTAATTGCCGTTTTTTGCTGATCTCGGTTCCTGGGCTGATATCTACGAAATCCGGGTGCGTCTTTAAGAGCCAACAGACCATGATCATCACCTACAGTAAATAGCGGATCTGGAACTTCAACCTGCGTGGAGTAAAATCAAACAGGAATATTTTTCGTATATGCACCAATATCAAGCCTTATATCGCATGAATTTGCGCTATGGTTGCAGAGCACCTGACATTAAATAATGGGTACTTGTTCTTGACGAAGGAAAATACTGTGACTTTACCACTGCTTTCAAGAACTTATACCTATTTAATGATCCTAATAAGTATAACTGCACTGCATTAGTTAAAAGCTTGGTGTTGTATCAATGCTTACTTTGTTACTGAACTTACGTGAAGTGTGCGGTGTCGCTGTTTTCCATACTGATCTGCCTCTGGAACAACTGCGAGGTTTTTATGAATTCCCAAGCTTTATCACATAAGCTCTTGTTACTTGAATAAGCAACATAATCGCGCCGGTCCAGAAAGGTTCTGAATATGGTTCTTTATTTTACAGTTTCAACGCGCGGAAGATAACCAGTGAAGTATGTAATAATGTGATTTTGGTACGTTATTCTTCTCGACACCTAGGCTTTTAATTGTTTCGGTAGCGATTTACTTAAGCAAATTCAAACTGGAGGATTTTTATGCACATGATTAAAGTACCTTTGCCTCATGTCATATTTGTTTTCTCTTCATATTCCTAGAAGTACTAGGTCAAGCAATTCTCTAATGGGTTACCCATTCTCTCCAGTTTTCAGTTCAGATAACCCAACTTATAGATAATTGCGTATGCACCGCTGGTCTTGCACCATAATTTTAGCTAGTGAAATGTAGTTTAGCAGATTAAGCCGAAGGTAGAATTTATCACTGGCTGAAGTGTAGAGGGGTTCCGAATAGGACTAACCAAATTTGCCAAAATTAGTGTTTCTAAATTTTTCATGCGTAAAGAAGCCTTTTGTTACTGTGTAAATAGCACTTAAAACAACATAAATCATAAGCGTGTCCTTAGAAAGCTTTTGGTATCGACTGTCCTTAAAGTTCCTTTTTATAAACTTTTCTGCCCACATTTGAAATATTCGTAAGAATAGTCGGAGATAACATTAAACATATGCACATTCATTCACTGGGATCATTCGTTCGTAGAATGCGTGACCTTGTTGAAATTTTTTGATTAAATTTATCCTTCTCGCGAAAGGTCTGAACCATGACGAAACTGGTTGCTGACTAGGGTACTACAAGCAAAAATAGTCAAGTTGCTTCAATCTCGGCACTAGGCGCATGGTTAAAATGCAACACGTTTTATTTAGATTTTGAGATTTCTTCCAAAGGGATTATCCGTATCACTCAAACTTATCCAGAGGTATTCTAAACCACAAAATGACGCTCCTTCTTGTTAACGTGCAAAAGCTGATCGGTAGATATTTGCGTTGGATAAGTCTGATAATTAGCCTAACATCTGGAAGATCAATATATACACGATAAATAAATAGGTGAATACGGAATATTGCATGTTGATTATAGGAAGCTGGAAGACATGCATCTGTGTTGCTGTATGAATAGAATCTCGAGCACGTAGGCGGAATCTCGTCATTTTTACTGCGCAGTATCAGCGCAGTTTAATAGAATGGCGGTATTTCATCAGTTATCTAAGACTCATCAAGACCAACTGTCGAACTGTTAATTGGATTATAATCTTTTACAGCAGACAAATGACTCTATCTCGAAATTGCAAAATTCTATGCCAGCCATTTATTATAGTCCCTGCTGGAAATAAATGCAAAAAGGCTTGCTACCGATCCAGCGGTAATAACTTTGACTGTTGCAGGGTCGGTAACCACAAAAGCCGCGGCACTTTCAAATTCACTGACAACTGGCTGAAATGGTCAACTACACTTACTAACGTATTTGAAAACTTCGTCTACACATCGTTTGTTCAACAGAATAATTCAGAGAGGATTCATTGGAGGTGCACTTGTGCAAAAATAACGTTACTTCTATTTGTTTAAGGAGTTACGCTCAGGGGTGAAGTTCCAATTATTTTTCGAAAGACGTTACTCAGGGAGTGCAAAATATAAATCATCAATAAGTTGCTTTTTATAAAAAATACTTTAAGAAAACAGGTTATTCTATAGCAGCAACCAAACAGTGGTTACTGAAGCCAATTCCGGATTCATTCCAGTTCACTAAAACGGCAACATTGTGGGCGGAATGCCTACATCATATTCGTAGCTATTTGCCCCATGGTCTTTTGCATCTCTTTGACGATTGCGTCTCAGACATTCCGAGCACGGTAGCTTTTCTCTGCGGCGTATTCTTGTTTCGCTGGCGGAAGCTTGAATGTCGTAGCACTAATTTCAGACGTGTAAGGCGTAATTGTTTCCTCGGGTGAAGATAATGGGACTTAGTGGCGGCATACCAAAACGCCACCGGCCGTTGACACTTGGTGTAATGAAGGCGTCTGCTAACTTCAGACTGTAGTCCCCTGTGAGCAACGCCTAAGGCTAAACGAATTATCTGGTTTGAATAGTATGCATTGCAGTTATTTGTTGGCTAGACTGTGTTTACAGTAGCGTGGTTCAATTAAGTAATTCCTTCTGGTAAGCGGCCCATTATTTTTGCATCGTATTTGTTTCCTTAGTGGCAAACAGTCACCACGCTATTATGGTCGATGGGTTGACAGGTAAGAATCTAAACAAATACCCTTACGGTACCACCTCGGTATCGGAATGTGTGTTGCTGCAGTCAGAGTAATAAGGAAACCCGCCAAAGTGTATTTTTCTGCTTATTTCGTTGTAACCTCTTTGATAGTATCCGTCAGTCAATTAACACGCAGCTGGTATTTCTCTTATATAATTATGACACAATTCACTAGTTTATCGGTCATCGTCTTTTCGTGTACGAGTGTGTGGAGCGGGGAAGTCTGCATATCGATCCGATCCTGGTGATCAAACAACGAAAGGTTAAATGGATCCGTTTAACTAGCTTGAAATAAGAATAACTTTGAACTGAATTAACTTCGTGAACCGAAAATTTGGTAAAATTTCGGTTTTAACCTTACGTGATGTGTAACTATTCAATTTCCCAGACTTTTGATGGATGTATTTGCAGAGACTAATGTCACACATGCAAGTTGATCAGTGGAGGGGACCGGAACTTTGGCCATTCTCGACGATTCCTTTCTATGGACTTAATAACACATATAACTTCCTTTTAATAGAAACGACTGTGCTTCCATTTTCTGTAATTTTTTCATGTTGACGAGACACGCAATCGTTTCAAAGCGCTATGAGTTTTCGTGACAAGAAGTTGTGTCTTTTCCAATGGCCACATTACACGAAGCGCAATATTACACAAGCGTACCATGAATATTCTACTTCCATTTACCTCAAACACCTTTCACATTTAGGGAAAATGAATGAATTACCGAATCTCCTTAAGTCTCAAGAATATTTGAATCCATGAATCGTTTTGTTACAAAGGGTTTGGCCTCGCGACAAGGTGCGTGACTCACTTGTGCCGGTATCTGGATTGATTTGTCCTAGGGTCCTATACCCCTTTTGACCACCGAAACTGTGGTGGTGAAGTAATCATGCAAACCATATTTTTCTTGGTGCAGATCTATGAAAGCAATTTTTTACTTCTTTTCTCAACTTGCTAACTAATTCTCCTTTAACAGCAGGAAAAATGTGTCGGTGGGTGTCTTTGAATCCTACTGGCTATAACCTGTATTTCACCGACTGTCCGGAACACGAAGCACAGGCACATTACGAAACGCTTGATGTTGCTGCATAGAAAACCTCGATTGTTTACTGCAGTTGAGTTTAAACGGACTTGGTGCCACTGTTCTCAACATCCTTGGGCTATCGAACACCGTACACTTCTCCATTGGATCACATACTACTCTGAACCTGATGTTTGTTTAAAAAAATGAAGCTATCCTTCGTGTATCATAGAGCGCATCTTGGCAGCTCTGAGCAATCAAACGCTAAGCTATGTCCTGTAGTCTACTGTACGAAAAGCCATCAGGATTCTGCTCGTTGCTGATGAAGGCAATATTCCACACAGGATATTAACCGACTCGAGAAATGGTGTCATCGACTGACGTCTGTTTATTTTTGTCGCTGACGTATCCACTTATTTCTATGAATTGACAATGTACTTGAACTTATGTCTGACATTTACTGTTCACGCAAAACTATAATTATCCGTGTGAACTTCTCTCCCTTGACCTTGTGTGGCTCGACAGTCTGAGAGTGGTAGTTTCCAAAAGTAAAGATAACCTCTTAGTAAAGTCCATCGTTTTCCTTATTCAGTTGGGTTAAGTCGGTTCAACAACGTTTCGTTCAGCTTATACCTGAGCATATAGCTACCTTGAACTCTGCAGGTTGTTTAAACAACCAAACGGGGTTTATCGAATTAAATCACTCTCTGACGTAGACGTGAAAAATTAAACCACGAGAACCGCAACTACTACAACGATGAAAGCTCTGACCAATCCACTGCGTAGCCTGCATTTTTTCCAGTTTCGTTCATTCTGTGGACAGCGACATTGCACACAGTTTACTGAACATCTTCACTAGGGGAAGGCAAGTGATCCGGACAGACTGCCCAGTTTCCCTCGGGGAATTCGCTGAATTCTTGGTTAAATCTGAACCTGCTTTATATTCAGTATGTATTCAACAGCGTAAAATTCCCGACTACAAGGGAAGTACTATACCAAACGCATATCAACCACTTGCGTGAATTTGGTAGCATTAAGTGTATTCAAAATAGTATTCTTCAGAAGTTGCTCGCACAAACGTATCCAGTTTTCTTACCGCTGTCCTAGGTTAGCCAAAGACATAGTACCCAGTCTTGTGCACTAGATTCTCTCATCAATGGATAATAGAAGCAAGCACACCCGAGTTCGTTTTCTGAATGCATTAAGGCATCAATCTGCAAAAACCGCGAATCACTGTTAAACCGTCTACTCGGTGTATGAATACATCCTTCTATCATCCCGTTTCTGACAGAGTATATTTCTGGTCCTACCCAAGTCGTCTGGCTTAAACGTTGAAGCTCTTTGCGTCTAAAACAAACACTGGTGTTCTTCAG